CATTTTTTAATTCAGTCATTGTATTTTTAGCTCAAAAGTTGTTTCTTTTAGTGTTTTCCTATCTCTTGAATTCTTATTTTTTTATTTTTGTCCTTATTTTGTTAAATTGTTTACCTGCATTCTTTTCTAGTCCCTGAATTTCATTAGAACAATTATTTCAAATTCTTTTTCAGTCAACTTGTGGATCTCCATTTTTTTAGGACAATTACTGGAAGTGTATTGTGTTCTTTTGGTGGCCTCATGTTTTCCTGATTCTCTGTGATTCTTGTAACTTTGTGTAGGTGTCTATGCATTTGAAGAAGCAGTCCTCCCCTTCAAAATTCATGAGCTGACTTTTAAAAGTAAAGACCTTCATCTGCAGGAGGCTAGACATACTGGAATGCATGAGGTACCAAATGAAGGGGCATATGGTGACTGTGGGTCTCAGTGTGTATGTTGTCTGATTGACTCAGATAGCTGGGGTTGGCAACCTCGGTAACTGTGTGGTCCTTGGTGATGAGAACTGAAGAAGGGCCATGGTCACTGTGAGGTGTTCTTTCAAGTTGGTGAAGTTTCACTCTCTACCAAACCTGAAAAAGACAAAAGTGGTAGAAAAAGGCCCAAAGTAGGAGTGTGAGATTGCAGAATACAAAACAGACAGTGGTTCAAGATGGGAAAGGGTAAGTACTGTTGATAGTTCATTATTTTGCTTTTGTTGTTGTTTTGTTTTGTTTTTCACTATCTTCAGTCACTAGATATACTCTATTATTTTTAAATTTTGAGTGTGTATAAAAAAGTATAAGCAGTCTTTATTCTCATGTATTTATTAAGACTCTGTCTTATCACAAGTTCTGCAAAAGCAGAACCTTACCAATTCAAATGCGTGTGATTTAGTAAAAGAGTGATCTCAGGAGAAAACAAAGAATGAGAGAGAAACAGGACAAGGCATGGGAATATGCCAGAGAAAGGTGTGGAGTCAGTTGAAAGTAGCTTCAGTCTGATTCCCCAGGAAGTACTGGAGCATGAATGGCACTTTGGAGTGGTTCTAGCTTGCAACAATAGGACATTTCTGCCATTGTTTTAAAGCCATCATATCATTCCGTTTTTGGCTATGGGGCACCCTGGGTATGAGGATATGCACTCCCAGCTATTTTCAGTCACTTATCTTCCTTTTTGCTAAGAGCAATTCTCAAAAAAGAGGTTTATATATGTTAGAAGCTGGCTCTCGAAGAAGCTGGCGGATATATTCACTGCTCTGGTAAGGGAGATCCAGGAAAGGCACTAAAATGTCTGCTTAGTTTCAACAAGTCTTATTTATTATGTACAGCTATCTACACTGTTACACTGACTCTGTTAGCATTGATGTTCTGGTACCCAGTGAAAGTTATGCAAAGTAAATGCCTCCCCTTATAGAATTCCTTCTTAATGACAACAATTTCTGTCTCGATTTTTATACATTATGCAAGCTAGGAGTTTCTTGGATGATGTGGCATTTGTTCTGAACCTTGAAGAATGAGCAAGATTTTGGATGGGTGAAATCAAGAATAGAGATTTTTCAGACAGAAGGAACAGAAAACAGAATGAGGAAAATGCAGAATTTAATTTGAATATAGTGCATTGGTTTGCCTGAAGTATTGAGATGATGAGAACAGATATTGGAGACAAGACTTGATAATACATTAGGTAGAAGATTGTTATAAATGGCAAAGACATTGAGGGACAATCTGATGACAGGGGAAATTCGAAGCCACCTGTGGATATTACAGATAGCAGTGCAGTGACTGGAGGTTTGGGTAATAGTGGATATTCCTTTTCATCAAGGTCTTCTACAGCAAAGTTGCCCCATGAGAAACAAAATCACAGTGATCATACTGTGTGTTTGTTTTCTTCTTACCTTCCTTCTTCTGTTTCCCCAGGCAATAGCTTCTAATGATGACCCATTCCCTTGCCCTGTGAATAAGGTTGAAGAGACCTGAGAGACTTCGCAAATTTTCAGAATCATAAAATAAATGGTATTGTGCAGGAAGTAAAATATGCCCAAATGCATCATCTACATTCTAAAGTATATTTTTAACAAGTTGAATTTCAATCATTTCTACTATTATTCAGAATAACAGGAGCAAACTTCATTGAAAAGCCCTTATGGTGTGTGAGGATTTAAGAAAACATATTTGTGAGCATCACATAGAGTGATATAGAGGTCAAGACTTCTGGTATCTAAATCAGTAGTTGCAAGATAGTGGTCTCAGTGGTCCCAGGACTTTCATTAAAATCTTCATGGTTCTGAGCTCCATCTCCAAGAAAAGAAGATAACACTACCTTTTATGTATAGGTGACTCTAAATTCAGAGGGGACTGATCACAGGCATTCAAGGGGAAAAGTTGCTTTAACACTTACCCCTGAATGAAGAGATAAGTGAACTGACAGGAAGAACTGCAGAAAGCCGCACCTGTGTTGTGAGACTGTACATTATTCCAGCTTAAGCACTTCATGATTTTAAGAAACTGGAAGGTAATTCTCCTTCTTTAGAAGGTAGGAATTTTAGAGTTTGGGTTTTTTTTTGTTTTGTTTTACTTTTTACAATGTACATCATTTCATTCTATATGTTCTAATAATCAAGTATCTGTGGGTGTTTATAGCCTGTTAGAAATTGAAGTATTTTGAATATTCTACTACTGTTCTTCAGTAGTATTGAAGAAACTATGAGCACAGACAGATGAAAATTAAGAATGTTGTCTGTTTCTTATTCTTGGTAAAGAGAGAACCCATAAAACTGCATGAGGAGGGCTTTGAAGAACAAAAAACAGGGACCAGGATGGCAAACTCAAGGCAAAAGCCAGGTATAGAAAGAGGGTAAGACTTGGGCAAACCAAACAGAAAGCCTGACACAATGTTAGGGGCATCTTGTTCACCAGAAGCTTCCAGGGTCATTGGGAAGGAAGCAGGTAATGTCATATGGACATACCTTTTGTCATTACTATACTTAAATAATGAGGAAAGCAGACTTTACCATCAACATATATGAAAAGTATCACAAAAGTCAAATGCTCCCAACCGCCATCACTGAGAAAGATTGTGCAAACTATACATATCCTGATATCCTGGAGATTTTCTCCTTGAAGATATTTGCCAAGAACTTGTGGGGTATATGTATGTGGAAATATATTCTTTGAAAAAGCTCTCCTAGTGACTCTAATATGACCATTTATAAGCCAAGCGTGATTTAATACTATAGTAAATAAGGGGAGTGTCTAGAATGTAAAAATAATAGTTTCTTTCTCCTAGGCTCTAAGAAACCATGGTTGAAGTTTTCAGAACTTGTTTGTTTGTTTTTGATGTTATTCAACATTCATAAGTGCAATTAAGCAAGCATTTAGAAAGCACCTATTGCATTCACATTGCTAGGCGACAAGATACTTAAAATTCACTTAGAAAGCAGCCAACTCTCTTTAGTGCATGTCTAAATAAAATAAATGCAAAAGAGCTCAAGCAATGTATTGGAGGAATTAATAAATGAATTGAAGTAATAATCACTGAATAATCATGGAAGGCTTTCTGGAGAATATGAGATCCTGTTTTATCCTATAGCCATCGAACTGACCTTAATCAAAGCCGACATTGTGCTCAGCTTAGGCTAAAAGTTGGGGGAGACAAAATTTTACACTGGTCTTTGTCCTTTCTAGTACAGAAGCCAAGCTTGTAAAAAATGTCTTATTACAATAAAATGGTATCTAAATCTAAAAGGTGAATAACATAGCTAGGCAAATTTAGAGAGTCTTCTGAGAAGTGATAAATTGTCATTTTGAGAAAGCTATGTTTTTAGGAGGCAGAGAAGGGCAGGAAATACATTGCAACTTAGAGAAAATAACATGGATATAGTAGAAGAGCTCCAAAAGGACATGCTATATTTGAGAAATAGTGGGATGCTTCTTTTGTAGGAGAACTTGGCTGTAGGAAATGAGGATGGACAGGTAAGATCTTGAAGCCATGCTAGGTGGAATTCCCCTCAGAATCAGCTAGCTAAACATGTAGTTCTCTAGACTCTCACTGCCTTGCTGTAAATACGCCATGCACATACATTTACCACCTATCTCACTTTTGGCAAATCAGGTACCTCTCTAAGCCACAATTTCCTAATTGCAAATAAGATCATTGTAATAGTACTTATATCTTAGGGTAGCTATGAGTATATACAAGACTATGAAACCAAAACATATAATAAAGAGTATAAGTTATTAGTATTATCTAGCTTGTAAGCAAAAGGGGTCCAAAAGACATCTATAATGAGGAGACATAGCGTGGTCACAGGTGTGACATAAATAAGCTGGCAGTAGGTGAAGGATAGAACTGGGAGAAGGAGATACCATATTCACCCTATGGGACAGATATAGGGCAACTGCAGAGGGACTAAAAAAGAAGGTTAAGATGTTGGAAAACAGATATCTAGAATTTTGGAAGTAACTCATTGGGGTGAAAGATGTGGAAGGAATAAGAAATGCAGCCTAATGGTAACTCTACAATGTCTGTAAATAACTCAGAGAGGAAACACAGGAAGGAAACCCGATATGTAAGGGAATATGGCCAATTTTGCTCTAAACATCTGTATTCAATACTTGGGGGACATTCTGGAATTGGAGATGTCCCAGAAGAAATTGGAGATCCTTTTTTGATAGAGGCTGAAATTGGAGAGTCATACAAAGTGGGTGGTTCTGAAACAATAGAAATGGGAAAGACTTTCCTTTAGAGGTAAATCATCTGAGAAATCTTCAGAGGAAAGAGTCTGTTGGGGAGTAGACTAAAAAATAAATGATATGAGTCTTGATTGAAGAATGCTTGGGTATATTTGTTTTCTACCTAAGGGTCTTTGTGTTATCTGTGCCTTGTACCTGCAGTATTCTCCCCCTGATCATCACATAGTTTACATATTGTCATTCTATTCTCCATTTAAGTGCATCACCTCCTCAGAGAGGGCTTTCAAATTCCACAAACGACAGTACTTATGCACTCTCACATCACAGAGATCCTACATGTCTGGTTCCATGTTGTGCTTCCTATGCATACAATTGCTGGACACATCATTGGCATCTAGTCAGTATATATGGAATAAATTCATGGACTTTGATAGTCATGTTACCACTCCATACCTTACTTTCACATTTTGTAAAATAAAAATAAAAATTCTACACATAGCCTTGTAAGAATTACATGAGACAGTTCTGTCTAATCCTAGCATATTGTATAATACATTATTGGTATTGAGTAGGAGCTGGTTACCTGCTCTGACTCTTCTTGTATTCCTTACCTACAAATGTAATGCACATAGAAGACAGTAACTCCTCAACTAACAATATAATTGTTTTGTCTTTTGTCTTATTTTGTCATTAGTCTTGATGAATCTTTCAAAATAATTTCAACCAGTATTTCTTTTATCTCTCCCAGCCCTTCATTCTCATACCTGCTTCCTCATTTCTTTCCCTCCACCTTTAACCATGACTGAAATTAAAATGAAAATTCTATGAAGAGTCTTCATATCATTTTTCTGCCCTCATGTCCTAAGCAGATTGTATGTTGAACAATCAAAATAGAAATATTACTGGCAAAATTTATCTGAGGAACTTGATTTAATTCTTTCCAGGCTTGTTGCAAAGCAAACTACCTAAGTACATTAGCTGGCAGGTGTTCTGGAGGTTTGCTAAAAACACAAAAATTGATCAGAATACACCATTCCGGAATGAGCCAGCATCTTCAAAATTATATTAAATTTAAGTTAGTCCATTTTATTATATTAGACACTTCAAAAAGATGTTCAAAGAACTTCAAAGAGACATTAAGAACTTAAAAATTAATGATATGTCTTAAGAACTATTGTAATAAGAAAAATTGATGTTGTATGTCTCAACCTTTAATTATTACCACATATAGAAACCCAGAATATACAACATGTTAAATTGATTTGTCTGCTCTACTTGTTGACACAAATGTCACCCTCAGAACCACTACTCTGTGGAGAGCACTGATGAAGATAGGATTGCATTGAAAGAAATGTGAATGTTATTTTGGAAATATTCGCTGATCTCTCAGAATTTTCTAAGTGTTTTAGTAATTTTAAATGATGGAATTATTTTATTCATTCAATCAACAGTTTATTTTAAGCACCCCTGAGTGCTAGGGTACCACTAAATCACAAAAAGCATTTGACAAATATAACATCTCAAAATCCAGTAAGTGAGATCAAAAAACTTTCATTCATTATTTTGTGTCTTCCTTGCAGATCCAGAATGGAGAAAAGAGAGATAAACAGTGCTTTTGGGGTAAAATCCAGGTATAGGTATTTGGGCCCACTCATCTACACAGATTATCATATTAGAATCATTCTTCTCTTAACTCAGGCTCCTGACCTTGACCTCTTTCCAAGTGCATTTAACTCCCTTTCCTCGGGTTCTCTAAGAGTTGCCTGACACTTGCTCAGGTCCCCTGAATAAAATAAAGGTAAATCAGTGCATAAGGAGCTTTATACAGTGATCTCAGACTTGTGACCAACAGCACCTCTGCACCATTGATAGACAGTGGTCGTGCTCACCAGGAGGATGGGCAATCACACTGCAGTGAGCATATTCATTCTGTGGGGATTTTCCAGTTTTTCAGACCTGCAGAGTCTACTTTTTGTGGTGATTCTCTTCTCCCATATGACCATCCTAACTGCAAATGTGTCCATAATGGGGGCCATCAAGTTCAGCCACAACCTTCACACTCCCATGTACTTTTTCCTCTGTGGCCTGTCCTTTTCAGAAACCTGTACCACTGTGGTAGTCATGCCTCGCATGTTGGTGGACTTGCTGTCAGAGAGCAAGACCATTTCTCTTCCTGAGTGTGCCACACTGATGTTTTTCTTTCTGGGCTTTGCATCCAACAACTGTTTCATCATGGCCGCTATGTCCTATGTCCGCTACACGGCCATCCACAACCCACTGCAGTACCACCCCCTTATGACAAGAAAGATCTGCTTGCAGAAGATGATGGCTTCTTGGATGGTTGGGTTCCTGCTTTCTCTGTGCATCACCATCACTGTATTCAACTTGTCTTTTTGCGACTTGAACACTATCTGGCACTATTTCTTACCAGTGGTCTCCCTTGCTTGTAATTACACTTCCGATTATGAAATGGCTATTTTTGCACTCTCTGCCTGTGTGTTGATGGGCAGCTTTATTTTAATTATGATTTCCTATGTCTTCATTGTGTTCATAGTCACAAAGATGCCCTCTGCAAAGAGGAGGTTTAAGGCCTTCTCAACTTGCTCCTCCCACCTCACTGCTGTGTCCATACACTATGGATTTGCTTGCTTTGTCTATTTGAGGCCCAAGAACAGCAACTCCTTCCATGAAGACATGCTGACGGCCGTGACATACACAATACTGACGCCTCTGCTTAACCCCATCGTGTACGGTCTGAGAAATAAAGAAATGCAGATAGCCCTAAGAAAAACGCTAGGCAATGTAATTGGGGTTTTCCCTCAGAAGACAAAAAATGAGCCCTGACCATTTAAAAAAATTACATAGCCTTGATAAATAAAGGTGGGAAAAGTGGAGTACTTCCAATTAATATCACTTTGTGCACAAACTGGTTAAAGTATTGTCTAACTGCCTAATATGTCTTGGTCTCACCATTTTCCTACTACAGAGAGGGTGCAGTTTTAAAATATTTTTAAATGTTGTGTGTGTTTGTGTGTGTGTGAGTGTGTGTGTATGTACACATATTCATTCAGGGAACGTATTGCTTTGGAACACTGTATTTTAATGATAGCAGTTGCTTTTTGGGAAGAAAAAAATTATGATACTAAAGAAAGAAGGACAGCAAGGAAGAAAGAAAGAATGTAAGGAAGGGAGGGAGGAAGGGAGGAAGGAAGGGAGGAGGGGAGGAAGGGAGGAAAGGAGGAAGGGAGGAAGAAAAAGAAAAAAATGGAGTTGACTAGTATAATTACTCCAAAAAGAGGGAGAAAGTACAAACACGAAAAGTTGAAATTGAAAATAGGATGTGATTAAAATAGAGAAAATTAAAAGCAATTTAAGAGAATACTTGGTTCAAATTTAATCAAACAAATTTGAAAATTAGAAAAAAAATCATGAATGCATTTATGGAAAAAGTAAGCTTATAAAGTGACCCCAAAAGCAATAGACATTTTTTGACATACCAATTTCCATGGAAATTTTTGAGAAATCTGTCAAAGAGATGTTTTCCTATTCTCTCCCACAAAGCATTAGAGCAGATAGTTTCATAATTAATTTGTTTAAATTCTCAAGGAACAAATAATTCAAATGTTATTTAAATTGATTTAGAGCATAAAAATACACAGCTTCTAATTTATGAACCTCACAGTGGTGGGAAGTGTTATTACTGCTGACAGATCATGGCCCTGGTAGGGAAGTTCTGAAGTGGAGTGTGGAAGATTAGATGATGTATGCTGGTGAAGGAATTTTGAGGTTACATTGTTCACATGGTTATAGGGAGTGTGAAGTAAAATATTATTCTTGATTTGAATTATATTTTCCTAATGACAAATGACATCAAGGATCTTTTAAATACTTATTAATCACTTATATGTCTAATTCAGAGAAATATTCAAATTCTCTGTCCACTTTTAATTGGCGTATTTGTATTGAATTTAGATTGTTTAAATGATTCTAGATAACATCCTTGATCAGACATACTCTGTGCAAATATTTCCTTCCATTCTGTAGGTTGTTTCTTCCCTTTCTTTATAGTTTCCTTTGAAGCAAAACAGTTTTTAACTCTAATGTGGTGGAATTTATCTTTCTTTCTTTCTTTTTTTTTTTTTTTGGATCATGCTTTTGATGTCATAGCTAAGAATCTATTGCTTAATCCAAGATCATGAAGACTTTCTCCTCTTTCTTCTAAGAGTTTTGTAGTATTAAATCTTACATTTAGGTCTTCAGTCCGTTTGAATTAACTTTTGTATGTGGGTTAAGATAAGGATCCAACTTTATTCTTTTACATGTGGATATTCAAATGACCCAGCACCATTTATTGAAAGGATTATTCATTACCCCACTGAATATTCTTGGCACCCTTATAGACAATCTGTTAACCATAGACACATGGGTTTATTTCTGACCTCAATGCTATTCCATTGATCTATATGTCTTTCCTTTTGCCAGTAAACACTGTCTTGATTGGTGTTGTTTGTTGTTGCTGTGTGTTTTTGAAACAGGGTCTCACTCCATTGCCCAGATTGGAGTGCAGTGGCACAATGGGTCACTGCAACATCTGCCTCTCGGGTTCAAACAATTTTCCTGCCACAGCTTCCTGAGTAGCTGGGATTACAGGCACCCGCTACGACGCCTGGCTAATTTTTGTGTTTTTAGTCAAGATGGGGTTTCACTGTGTTGGCCAGGCTGGTCTTGAACTCCTGATCTCAAGTGAAACACTCACCTTGGCCTCCCAAAGGGCTGGGATTATAGGCATGAGCCACCATGCCTGGCCTTGATTAGTATTGCTTTATACTAATTGGGAAGTGTGAATTCTCCAAGTTTGTTCTTGTTTTTCAAGATTCTTTTGGCTATTTTGGGTCACTTGCATTTCTATATACATTTTATAATCTTGTCAATTTCTATAAAGAAACCATCTGGGACTTTGATAGGGATTTTGTCTAATCTGCAGATAAATTTGGGGAGTATTTCCATCTTAATAATATTAAGACTTCCAATTAATGAGCATAAGCCTTTTTCACTCATTAGGTTTTATTTCATTCCTATCAGCATTAAAAAATTGATATTACTGTAAATGTAATTGTGTTCTTAATTTCATTTTTATATTTTGCATTACTAATGCAAGGAAATACCACTGACTTGTTATATTTATCCTATATCCTACAAGTTGTCTGGACTCATTTATTCATCCCTATAATTTTAATGGGTTTCTATATTTTTATATATGTTTATGTTTTCTATATATTTATGTTTTCTATGAAATCATGTCATCTGCAAATACAGTTTTACTTCTACTTTTTCGATCTGGATGCCTTTTATTTCTTGTTATTGCTAATTGCCTTGCTTCCTCCACTGCAATGTTGACTAGAAGTGGCAAGAACAGACATTCTTGTCTTGTTCCTCATACCTGGGAAAAGCATCTAGTTTTTGGCCATTAAGTATGAAATTAGCTATGGGTCTGTTCAGGATTTTGTCAGGTTTAAACTATCTCTGTTTACTGATTACATGATCTTATACATAGAAAACACTAAAGATTCCTCCAAAAGACCCTAGACTTGATAAACAACTTCAGTAAAGTTTCAATACAAACTGATGTACAAAAATCAGTAGAATTTCTATATACCAATGACACTCAAGCTTAGAACCAAATCAAGAACTCAGTCTCATTTACAACAGCCACAAAAGATTAAAATACCTAACAATACACCTAACCAAGGAGGCAAAAGACCTCTACAAGGAGAACTACAAAACACCGATGAAGGAAATTGTAGGTGACACAAACAAATAAAAAAAAAAAATCCCATACTCATGGATTGGAAGAACCAACATCATTAAAATGACCATGTTGCCCAAAGCAATCCTCAGGTTCAATGTAATTTTTATGAAATTGTCAGTGTAGTATTTCACAGAATAAGAAAAAAACAATGCTAAAATCCATATGAGACAAAAAAAAAAAGCCCAAATAGCCAAAGCAATCCTAAACAAAGTAGTAATATAGCTGGAAGTATCCCATTACCTCACTTCAAAGTATACTACAAGGCTATAATAACCAAATCATCATGGTACAAAAATAGACCCATAGATCAATGAAACAAAATAGAGAACCCAGAAATAAAATCACACACATACAACCACCTGATCTTCGACAAAGTCAACAAAAATTAACAATGGGAAAAGTATACCTTAATTAATAAATGGTGCTGGGAAAAATGGCCAGCCATCTGCAGAAAGATGAAACTAGACCCCTATTTCTCACCATATACAAAAATTAACTCAAGATGGATTAAATACTTAAATGTAAGATATGAAGCTATAAAAACTCTAGAAGAAAACCTAGGAAAAACTCTTCTGGATATTGGCCTCGGCAAATAATTTGTAACTAAGACCACAAAACCAAATGCAACAAAAACAAAAATAGACAAATGGGACTTAATTAAAGGGCTTCTGTACAGCAAAATAAATAATCAACAGGGTAAACAGACAACCTCGGGATGGGAGAAAATATTCGCGAACTATGCATCTAACAAAGGACAAATATCCAGAATCTGTAAGGAACTCAAATCAACAACAAAAAAAGAGGTAGCCTCATTGAAAAGTGGGTGAAGGACATGAGCAGACATTTCTCAAAAGAAGACATGCACATGGCCAACAAGCATATGAAAAAATGCTCGACATCATTAATCATTAAAGAAATGCAAATCAAAAATACAATGAGATACCATCTCACTCCAGTTAGAATGGCTGTAATTAAAAAGTCAAAACATAACAGATGTTGATGAGGATGCAGAGAAAAAGAGAATGCTTATACACCATTGATAAGAATGTAAGTTATACAACTGCTAAGGGAAACAGTAGGGAGATTTCTCAAAGAAATAAAAACAGAATTACCATTTGGCCCAGCAATCCCATGACTGAGCATCTAACTAAAGGAAAAGAAATCATTATAACAAAAGACCACTGAGCTTGTTTGTTTATTGCAGCACTATTCACAATAGCAAAGTCATGGAATTAACTCAAGTGTCTATCAACAGTTGATTGGATAAAGAAAATGTGATATATATATTATATATATATATAAAATTTGTATATATACACACACACACAGCATAGAATACTACCCAGCCATAAAATATATGAAAGCACGTCTTTTGCAGCAACAAGGATGAAGCTGGAGGACATTATTTTAAGTGAAATACCTCAGAAATAGAAAATCAAATAATGCATATCCTTATTTATAAGTAGGAGCTAAACAATGGGTACATATAGGCATAAACATGGAAATAACAGATACTGGGGACTCCAAAAGGTATTAGGTCTAAAAAAATTATCTATTGGATACAGTGTTCACTGTCAGGTGATGGGTTCCCTAGAAGCCCAAACTTCACCATTATGCAATATACCTAGGTAATAAACCTGCACATGTGCCCCATGAATCTAAAATAAATTGAAAAATTTTTTAAGAAGAGAGCAGGGTTGACCATACTTATATCGGACTTTGGGTCAGAAACTGTTACAAGAGTCAAAGGAGGTCCTTATATAAATAATAAAAGGTCCAATGTATCAGGAAGATATAACAATTTTAAATACATGCACACAATATCAGAGCACCTAAAATATAAATTAATAAAATAATAGTAGAAGAAGACTGTTAACCAGGCACCGGTTCATAATGGAAGAATACCTAGAACCAGAAAACAACTACAGGAGACACGGGACCGCTTGAAACAACTCTATAGAGAAGATTCCTCTCTCTAACAACATACAAACATTCCAAACAGACAGCATCAAGGATTCATGATTTTTCTCAAGTGCGCCACTGAAACATACTACAGCAATTTATTTCATGTTGGCAAAATAAGTTCTTAAACAAGAGCTTTTAAAGAATTGATATCCTTAACAGAGTACGTCTTTTGGATTTATTAATCAGATATTACAACTAGAAATGATAACAGATAGGAAACTAAAAAAGGTCTACATTAATATTATGGAGATTACATAGGTACACTCTTGAATAACCAGTGGAATCAAATGGGAGAAATCGAAGAGACAATAAAAATAGTCGAGACAAATGAAAACAAAAACAGAATGTACAAAAGTCTTAATAGATGCAGCACAAAGGACAGTACTAAAAAGGGAATATTTATTAGTACAACTGCCTAAA